GAAAAACAACCAGTTTAAAATAAGTGTGTTTATTCATTAAATGTATTAACAAAAAGATGAGTCCCTTTTTGAACATGTATTTTGTCATCCTTTATTTCTTCATATTTCGTTTAACAGTTTGTTATACATGTATAATTATGTACTTTATTTTAAATAAGCATACTAAATTTGTTTACCTTCAATTTTATTTTATTATTATTGATATTGTATGTTTCTCGGTATACTTATAGTTGGTTTTTGGAGAATAAATTCTTCGACTTGAAAACATTGTGACAGCATATCAAAAGAAATTTAATTGTGTTCTACTAGTTAATACCTGCTTAGAGACATTAACAGAAAAAGTGGATTTTTCTTTTAATAATTAAATTTCATTCAAAATCAATTGTGTATCTATTCGCTCAAAACAACACTGGCTCAAAAATGTAATGCAAAGCTCTGTTTTCCGGTAGGTTTCTTTAAGTATGAAATCAAAAGACAAATTAGCATTCAATTAAAATCAAAATAGTACTTTTATATTGTTCCTTATAAACTACGACATTTCTTTCAAATATTTATTATTTTTTTAGTTCTACACGTGCAGAAGCAAAATCCCCTCTAGTGTTACGTTTCAACCCTGTTTTACACAAACATGTCTTCAATTCATTTTATATTCGTATTAGCCACGATAGTACATTTCATAGAACGTCAAATGTGTCCATTCACGTGCACAATACAATATGTTGTTTTGTTTCTGTCTTTTGGTGAATGAATTGGACAATTTGTTTCGTTCAAATTGTGATACGTTATTTCTAAATGACCAAACGCTTAGCTACAGTATGTTCGTTTTATAGTATAAAAACAAAAGAGAAATGCAACCCGTCATGCATTATTATTATTCTGAGATCTTTATTGCATGTAACTACGACATTGACAGGACAATTATCTAGGATACAATTGTATCCCGTCAATGTGAAAGAAAATTATGAGTGGTTCATGTATTTATTTGTATAAAATTGCACATGTATTTATTCTTATATTTTTCTTAATCCGGTACATGTTAATTGTGTTGTTGCATAAAGAACATGATTTCTAAATAAAAAAATATCACAAGTATAATATTTCGACCCCACTATTTGAAAATCAGGCGACGACACAGCATTACAAAAACATTTATTTAATTCATTTTACGTTCGTAGTAACATAGTACATTCCATTGTCGGTCACCTATTTCAATTCACGTGCACACTACGATTGCTGTTGTATTTGAAACTTTCGGGCAATGAAATGGGACGTTACCAGCTGTTTGTGGTACGCCAGAATGTTATAAATCTGTTATCAAACGCTATACTTGACTGAAGTTCAGTGTAATGAATTTATTAAGAAAGAAATTCCCTCAATTACAGCAAGGGAATTGAAGGACAGGTTGCTTCGTTATTCGCCTGCGAATGCTAACATAGATGTGTACACTTTTTATCGCACCATATCCAGATATCTTGATTTTACATTTAAACGATTAGATCGTACGTTCCAGGATACATTTACTCCGGGAAATAGTGAGAAAAACCCAAGCGTATATAGACTTTTGCCAAACTAAAAGGCCACACCAAATCAAGTTCTTGGACGAGAGCGCTTTCAAGTTGGTCACTGCCAACAGTAACTATTGTCACTCACAAAAGGGGAACAGTGTATCGAAATTGTTAGATATATTCCAGGTGTAAATTAAACTTTAAACTTTTTGATTGGGCGTGTTTGCGTTTTATACTTCAATTTTGTCGACGGTCCATCAAATTCAGAGCGTTATCTTAATTTGTGGCATGAGGCAAGTTTAACACAGGACACAGACCTTTTTTCCATGAGATTTGATAATTGTTGCTTATTGCGCTATACACCACCACCAAGTTGATAGCATCCTTAATATTTTCTTTAATATGCAAGGTATTGACAATGGGTTTCTGCCGGTATACTCAACGGATCTGAACCTCGTTGAAATGTGTTTTTCAAAACTTAAAACTGTCATAAAGCAAGAAAGATTTAAGGGACTTATTAGCCAAAACCATAAATTAGCCGTGATTAAAACAATTCAGGAAATAAACCAGTCCGATTTTGATGGATTTTATAGACACATACTGTTTTTTGTTTTGTTTCATTGTAACATTCAGTAGTAATAGTAAATTCTTTTGTAGTCACGCGAGTTCATTGATAAAATTAAATCAATACTATGATTGTTGTGTTTATGTTACATTTAAATGCGGCCAAGCTAAGCGAAAGGCCGTGCGACATAATCAGTCAAACAAACTTTATTAGATCAACTCATTAAGGAACAATCGTTTTCATTGGTCAATTCAAATCTTCGACCTCAAATAAACTTTCAAGTCCCGCCCAAGCATACATGCGAAAAAAGAACACACGTACTATAAAGGATCGAAAGGGTAAAGGACTGGTCATGTACAGGAATGTGTACTTGATTATCGCATTGCAATTCTAGCTTGTATACATGTGCATGTAAAATTTATTGTATTATAATTTTATGCAATAGTTCTAATAAGGTCCTTCGTATTAAATTTTTGAATTTGATAAAAAAAAGACTCGTAACGGATTACACGGCGAAATATTGAATCCAACTGTCTCCTCTCAAATAATTCTGAACTTACCCCGTACACATTTTCTATTTGTTGAGTTACATCATTATGTGTTAATTGCAATGAGACCAAATTATGAAACATGAATGAAATGACTCGATGATATTTGAAAGACGTAAATGAGACAGTAACTAACTACAAAAATAACCAAATTACATAATAAAGATATTGCACAATTTTACAGTAAATGGGTTTGTGAAATAAACTGTTCACTATTCATATAATATCGTCAGTATATCACAACCTCCTCGACCCTTAAACAAGGCTCATTTATGCTAAACCTTTTTTTATAAATATGAAACTACATAGGAATAGAAAAATTGAATCCCAATGACTAGTAACAAATGACAACTTAAATTTACTTCATTTCATGGCATAATCCAGTAACTTTAAAAAACAGGGAAGCTTGGGGTTTTATGAATTCGACTTGGGATAGTGTGATTTTTTCCTGATTTAGTTTACTTGATTTGGAAAAAAATCACGAAATCCTAAGTAAATTCAGAGCAGGTAACCATGCTTTGTTTAGAGAAAAATGGAGATGGCAAAACATGGGCCGCAGTGAAAGGAAATGTACTTTATTGTAACTCCGGCAATATAGGTGATGAATATTTTAATTATTTGTTTTGATTTTCTCAGTTGAAAAACGAACGTAAATGGTAATGAAAAACAATCAGTTGTAAAAAGTGTGTTTATTCATTAGATAAAAAGGTGAGTCCCTCCATGTACATGTATTTTGTCATTCTTAATTTCTTCATATTTCGTTTGATAGTTTGTTATACATGTATAATTTTGTACTTCATTTTAAATAAGCATACTACATTTGTTTACCTTCAATTTTATTTTATTATTATTGATATTGTATGTTTCTCGGTAAACTTATAGTTGGTTTTTGGAGAATAAATTCTTCGACTTGAAAACATTGTGACGGCATATCAAAAGAAATTTAATTTTATTCTACTAGTTAATACCTGCTTAGAAACATTAACAGAAAAAGTGGATTTTTCTTTTAATAATTAAATTTCATTCAAAATCAAGTGTGTATCTATTCGCTCAAAACAACACTGGCTCAAAAATGTAATGCAAAGCTCTGTTTTCCGGTAGGTTTCTTTAAGTATGAAATCAAAAGACAAATAAGCATTCAATTAAAATCAAAATAGTACTTTTATATTGTTCCTTATAAACTACGGCATTTCTTTCAAATATTTATTATTTTTTTAGTTCTACACGTGCAGAAGCAAAATCCCCTCTAGTGTTACGTTTCAACCCTGTTTTACACAAACATGTCTTCAATTCATTCTATATTCGTATTAGCCACGATAGTACATTTCATAGAACGTCAAATGTGTCCATTCACGTGCACAATACAATATGTTGTTTTGTTTCTGTCTTTTGGTGAATGAATTGGACAATTTGTTTCATTGTATGTTTATCGGTCAACTTATACTTAGTTTTTAAGAACAAATAGTTTTCTTTATGTACTACGAATTTCCTACATCTGAATCCGCTAATGGTTTTTTTTTAAATACTTTTGATAACATTGGGATTTGTACATTTAAACCACGGCAAAGAAATTTTATTTTACTAGTTAATAATTACTTAGAGACATTAAAAGAAAATGTGAATTTTTCTTTTAATAATTCAATTTCATTCATAATCAATTTTGTTTCTATTTGCTCAAAACAATACAGGCTCAAAAATGTTATGCAAATCTCTATTCTTCCGGTAAGTTCGTCTTAGTATGAAAGCTAACGACAAATTTGCATCCATTTAAAATCAAAACAGTACATTTATATTGTTCCTTATAAACAACGATATTTCTCACAAGTATTTACTTGTTTTAGTTCCACACTTGCAGAGGCAAAATCTCCACAAATGTTACATTTCAACCCTTTTTTACACAAATATACCTTCAATTCATTTGATTTCCGTAGTAACTATGATAGAACACTCATTAGTACGTCAATTGTGTTTATACCCTCAATCAATACGATTATTGTTGTTTTGCTTCTATCTTTCGGTGAATGAATGAGACAATTTGTTTCGTTTGCGATATTTCTGAATGACCAAACGCTTAGATACTGTATTTTCGTTTTATAGCATGGAAACAAAAGAGAAATTTGCAACCTATAACATGTATCAGTGGGAAAGCCACACGTCAGTTCTACGCCTCCTTCCATATGACGTAACGGACAGGAATTCAAGGGCGACAATCGCGATTTTTACATAGACGGCGACAGTATCGCACCATCTCGGTAATTTGTTTACATCGTGTACGTTTGATTTTTCAAGAAATTTATTATTAAAGACAATTAAACTTGCATCATTTCATCATCAATTAGTTATATAGGTAAGTTTAACAGGTGACCATGCTATTTGTTCTTCTTAGGAGATTTTATTTTACAAGAAACAAACATCTGAAAATGGCAAGTGACGTTGTTATTTTGGAAGATAAAAATATGGCGGGTGTTTTCCCCTTCTGAAAATAACTGACACATTTGCATCCTAATGGCTATTTAAAAATAAAATGACCAAAAATAGTATCTATGATGATGGGAGTCCCTAAATATTTGCATAACTACCCATCACTCCGTGTCAAATTGCAACTGAGGCTGCGAAAGGGAAGCACATAAATCGACGCCATTTTTCATCAGATCCACATGAATAGTAGGTTTCTGTGCTCACAAAATCCTAGTAATATCCTTTTAATGGTTAGTAGAAAGATATGAACAATATCCATAACACAATTTTATTGATCAGATCGGTTTATGCCAAATTATGGCTATATATTTCCCCTTTTTGATGCTGAAATTTCCACAGACCACATGTAAATAAACGCCCCTTTCCCAGCGTGGGACTTCAATTTTAAATAAAACTTTAATTTTGGCCTGTCAATGTTAGCATTTATATTTTAGTTTATTTGTAACGGTTGTGTAAAGCATTTGTGATTATTTGTTTTATACTCTCGAATAGTAAAAAGGTTAGTAATGCATGGTTCAATGAGTGTGTGACAAAAAGAATAACAACAGAATAGAGAACTATGGCTAAAAGTATAAAAAATAGAGAAAAACTGACTAAAAAATATAAGGAATAGAGAATAATGTTGTGCTTATTTATTGAGAAAAGAGAATGATGGGCAAAAAGTATAAAGAATAGAGACAAATGACCTTAAAGATTTAATAATATAGAAATGGAGGACACCCCATCCAGACCCTTGTTTATGTGAACAACAGTACCATTTTGTTTTGTTAAATAATGCATATATGGTCATGAAAAATATTTTGAACAGATTTCAGGTATATAAAATATTAATCATTAGGAAAGTATCAGTTCTGACCCTCCTTCTATGCTAAAAAAACACAAATAATATGTGATTGATTGTTGATTTTTAACGCCACAGTATTGGCTAGGTGTTGTGGCCAGGTTTTATTGGTGGTGGATGCCTGATTGCTCATATACTTTATAGTACAGCCCGAAGAATGGGCCCTCAGATTTGAGGGAATCTCAAATTTCACAACTGATAAGCTTCACAGTTTAAAGTCCTTGTAATTTATATATCACTCTTCCCAATAAACTGACCACAGATGTTACACATAGGTTATCTGATAAGAAAGTCAACATTTTGACATTTTCTGTCTTTACTTGAAATATAAATATTCTTCATAAGATTTTGACAATCTAGTCAGTGTTTTTTTTTTATTAATCATGTTCAGATACAGTTAAAGGAATGTAATATGAAGTTATGATTTTTTTTTATTAATTTTCCATTTTTTTAAAATTTAGAATAGATCCATAATCTGTTGTCATTTTGAAGATTAATTTTCATTAGAAATGAATATTCTTAGTAATTTTCACATTTATTTTGTTAAATGTCATTTAATGATAAAAGGAAATTTCCTAAATATTTAAAAGAAATTCTTAATAGAATATTCATTAGGCAAAGACAATTTGGAAAAAGAACCCTCCTTTTTATACGCCTGTTTATGAGAGGTATTATGGTATACCGTTGTCCATCCGTGCGTCTGTCTGTCCGTCATAGAAAACCACAGACCTTTGGTTACAGCAATCCTAATCAGTTTTGATTGGAGTTCAGATAACCCGCACAAGGAGAGTTTGAACTCACAACCTGAATGCAGACTTACTTGTGCATTTACTTTAAATTTTTGCTCTCATACTGATATTTTGTTTGTAATTAGGACGTTTACTTACATTTAATATCATTTATGAGGAATTAAAGATATATATATGAATGATTGAATGAAAAGTTACCTTTGAAATAACAGATATGATAATTTAATGTTGCATATGAAGTTAAACTTTATTTAAATATATATTAATATCTATTAAAAAGATTGATATGTTATTATAGTGATGAATTTAACTTTAACATGTTAAGATACTGAAGTTAATGAATAAATAAATAGAAAAATTTCTTTGAACATACGTTGCTGTATATGATTATGACCTTTTCTTATCAGACATATTATATAAAGTCATTAAAATAAATTATTTATTTACACCAAAAGTCTTAATTTTTTTGTTTATTTTTATTGAAGCTTATATACCTAATAAATATCTAAAAACAAAATTAAGTATATACATTATGGGATTTTCTCATGTTTGAAGGCTTTAGTGTAGCATAAAATTGCTTATATCCACTCCATTTGAGTTTTTGGGGATAGTTGTCTCATTGGCAGTTATTTCACATCTGATTAGTTTTATATTAGTGAAATTAGAAACATTCAATTTAAATTAAAACTTGGACCACATAAGAATCAGTAGACAATTAAAATATAAATTATAATTTCATATGACAACTCTAGAGAAGTTGGAAATTTTTTTCATTTAATATCATATGCATAAATTTATATATTTACAGATATCAATAGAAATAAGGAATAAAGAAGAGCAGGAAACATTTCCATTTTGAGGATTTATGGAACAGAGAACTATTTGACTTGTTTTTACTTTAACTTGGACTTTTTAACAATAATGCTTCTTAAATTTTAAACTTTATTGTTATGCGTTTGTTTTTTTTTAACTTTCAAAGTATTAAGTTGTATTAAATTTTGTTTATTTGATTGAAGTTTATTTTTCTTATAATAACTTAAGATATTATTCACATATGTTTCATCTTAACATTATTTTTATGCATTTGTATTTATTTATCTTTTAATAAACTTTTTTTTCTTAACATTTTTATATTTTAAATATACAAAGTGAAACACCATAATCATTTTATATTGATAACATGGGGTAGATGTACATGAGACAATGCTGCTGCTGCAATACAATAAAACATTCATAGATGCAAAGCAAGCATATTAGCCATATATATGTATGTACTATAGTATTTGAGACATAAAAAAATATCAAAGATGTAAAAGGTCTACTTTAATGATTTATTAGGTGTGAAGGACTTAAACGGAGTGGTTTTAGATTCGTTCACTTCTCCCAGAGGTATCCTTGATGTCTCTCTAATGGCCTCTTACGACATGACTTTTCACTGTTATATGCTTCCAGGGAGATTTTGAAGTGTGGTGACCCCTGCACCTAAATAAATCATTTTCAGCAGATACATATCTCTGTTTTCAGACTTTGATGAAAAGTTTAAACTAATATACAAATTAGAAAAATGAAAACTGAGCAACTTGAACCCACAAAATACAGATGATCTCAGGTGCTCTGGAAGAGTAAGCAGATCCTGCTCCATGTGTAGTATTTAGAATGAGATGCCTAGGTGCCCTTTTCCTATATGTAATCACATGATTTTGCAAATTATTGTGTGCTTTTATTATTGCAAATATGTAGAATGATATATTGGAATAAAATGTGTGAAAAAGTATTGCTTTTGCAGAAAAATCAGCACACAGATATAGGAATGGTAAAAATCTGATTTAAGTATAGATCCTGTGTCCAAGCTTTGTTTTCTTGTAATAAGCTTGGACACAGGATTTGCATTTTAATCAAATTAAAAGGTATCAGAATGCAATTTATTATTTAGATACTCACCCACTCACATTATTGCAGTAATACAAACTTTGCTATCCTTTCTGAATTTACAGTACCTAAAATATCCATCATGATAGACCCCGAAAAAGATTAGTGTGAAATAAAAATTGTTGGTCGAACATTAATATCAACGCAACAAAACAGGATCACCAAAATCAGAGTGACACATTCATATGCCATCTTCAAAGTAGACCTCAGAAGCAATATAGCTTTTTTTTAATGCTCTTAATGGTCATATAGCTCTCACTTGTATTAAGACTTGTATATGTACTATGGCATTGAGCATACCTGTTGAAGGTTAATCCAGGAAAGCCCTTGGATGCATTCAATTTAAAATATTTATTTTTTTCATTTTCACTGTGAAGGAATAGTGTAATTAATGAATGCTATATTTGAAAAATACCATTGTTAATGTTAATTTCTTCAGCAGCAGCATATCTGGGTTTAACTATTTTTTTCAACTTTAGTTTTTCCTTGGGAAAAGTTGTTTTTAAAAGAAACCCATATTGACATGATTGACAATTGATAGAGGATGATAATTATAGGGAACAGTTTTAGCCTTCAACAATTTGCAAACCAATTTGTCAAGTATAAAGGACCTTATAAAACAGCATCTGATAAAAATTCTAAATCCAGAACTAATGATAAAATAAATACTGCTACTATATATATATGGAAGAAAAACTTTTTCAAAACAATTCTTTAAGAACATGCACACACTTGAAAACACAATGACAAATACTTGTTACCAGGGCCCAGACACACTTAAACATGAATGGTTAGTGTACAACAGGTTCCTTGATAAGGACAGGCAAAATACAAATGTTTGTGTGTTGACTTTCCACTTGCATAGTAGTTTTATTTATACAATAAGAACAAAGACTAAAAATCAAGTGAAAATTATTGACTCATCAGATTTTCATGTCACAGTGGCAGGCAGGCAATATTTGTTGATTGATACTTTTAATATATTTAAAATTGACAAGTTGACACATTTCAGGTAAATATTTACAGAAACAAAGAATGACTGTCATTTGTGCAAGCTTTTCATTCAGACAATATTTTTTGCCCAACTGAAATTTCTTGAAAGTGGGAAAAGGGGGGGGGGGGGGGGCTTCCAGACAACTGAAGTCATTTATATGGACAAATTCATTCATTGAATAAACCAGTTTCAGTGTACTACATAAATCTGTTATACACTGCAGCATAATTAAATAAATGCAGAAAATTATTAAAACAAGGAATCTGAGCAACATGAAAAAAATCAACAAATGACGGAGTAAAGCTTTCAACCTATCAACATTTTTATGTAAAACATATTAAAAATCCAGGAAACATCATCACACATCATTGTCTGAATCAATTTCGTTGTTAAAAACTGCTAAAATTAACATCATTTGCCCCATTTTGCAATGAAATAACGTCAAAAACGTTAGAAAAGGGTTGATTTTTGACCTCCGTTTGAGGTATTTATTATGTAAACAAGACTCGAAGTGACGGGGAATTCTTTACATAGTCATGTGCCCATATGTTTCTAGGTCACATTTATTTATATCTCATCCAATGAAAAGCTTTAGGATGCAATTGTGTCAGTTATTTTCAGACGGGGGTATTACCCGCGGTTTTTTGGAAATCAACGGAGGTAGTCTTTTGATTTATCATATTTCAATAACGAAGCACTTATTTTAATAATATTTTTGACAGTCGTGTGACAAAATCTATTCTGATGACGATTAAACCGCAAATACTGTAGGATGATAAGTCGTTTTGATAAATTTATTGTCTGAATCATATGCTACGTTTTTGTTTACACGTTGATTACAGCGCCACCTTGAAATTTTTAGATTATGTCCCCTTTCCCGCGTGACCACCGGAAGGAACTCTTCAATGTCACTGGCTTTCCCACTGTATAATGAATCATTATTGTTACGAGATCCTTATAACAAGTGACTTATAGACCCCATATGGAATTTACTGACCCCACATATATTGTGTTAGGTCACTAGCAAACTATGTAACTAATAGTATCCCGTCAGTTTTTAGTTTTAAGTGATTTATGTATTTATCCGTCTAAAAGTGCCGCATGTATATCCCTAGATTTTTCATAATCCGATACATGCTAATTGTATTGTTGCATAAAGAACATGATTTCTAAATAAAAAATATCACAAGTATAATATTTCGACCCCACTATTTGAAAATCAGGCGACGACACAGCATTACACATGCATTTATTAATTCTTTTTACGTTCGTAGTAACATAGCACATTCCATTGTCGGTCACCTGTTTCAATTCACGTGCACACTACTATTGTAGTTGTATTTGAATCTTTCGGGCAATGAAATTGAACGTTGCAAGTTGTTTGTGATACGCCAGAATATTATCAATGAATTATCAAACGCTAAACTTGACTACAGTTCAGTGTGTTTTTGAATTTATTAAGAAAACAATCCCTCATTACAGCAAGGGAATTGAAGGACAAGTTGCTTCGTTAATCGCCTGCGAATGCTAATGCAGATGTGTCCACTACTTGTTCATTTATTGTTGGAAGTATGAATCAGTCTACTATTTGACTATCATGTCTGCAGTTCTATAGGACTCTATGCCTGGTCTACAGTGCGATCGTCAAAAGCATAATGTTTTGTCTTTTTTTTTCTTTTGAGAAATTTGTGTTTGTGTTTGTGATTTTACAGAGCAAACTCTAAAACATATAGTCGTGTTTGTTTGTAGTTGATTTTTCCATTAAAACATTTCTTATTTAATAGTTTTCAATTTTTAAGCTCTCTATATTAAGCAATCTCTATATATATATATATATATATTTATCATTTCAGGAAAGAAAAAAAACGAAGAACGGATACAGACGTTGTTTATTGTTAATAATTTGGTACAATTTTTTAAAATAAAATTTGACAAGAAGTTTGTTTATTTTACGAAGTTGTAGTCAAATATCGGGTTAAAATCAGGATTAACGTGTATGTACAAATCAGGTTTTATATTCATATCGCATTTTCATGTTCTCTTCTTGAATATGCATGTAATATATCCTGCTTGACGAATCATCGATTCATCAATCAAGCAGATTTCCATTTTCCATACTGGTTACGTGCATTTCTTTTGCGTTTTTTTTCATAGTCACAGAATTTCATTTGTATTACATATGAATTGAAGTTTTTGCACGACAGGTGAAAGAAAAATATCCTTCCATGAGTATAGTATTGACCGACTGAACTAGATCATCATCCGTGACAGACTTACCACTAGCTTTCCAACGTCTGGACATCCCTGGTAATATTATTCAATAACAGTAAATCTCTATTCATTAAACTTTCCCCTGCTTCCACTTCTGCATCTGTTATTTTTTAAAACAATTATTATTTTCAAGTAACAACTTTTGGTTAGTTTATATGCGTTTCATAATAAGTTCTACCAGTCTGGTTTTTTTTTTAAAGAGGAAATAGATTTAAAACGTCTTCAATATTTAGACCAAAAGCTTGTACGAAACTCCGTTTTGTATTAACTTGAAGTAACGAAAAACTTGTAGTATGTTTGCAAATTTTTCAAGTAGATTTAGTGGATAAGTTTGTATTTTTTGTCCTGTTAATTACATATATGGCATTTAGGTAAAATGGAGCTAGGTGGTGCAGATTTGCTCAACATTTCATTATTTAAAATCGTTAGGCGTCTAAAAAAAAATTTATTTCACATGTATGAAAAGGCAACTGTTATTAAAAGCTATAAATATAAAACATTATGTATAGAATCACTTAAGCTTTTAAATCCAGAAATTACTACTGCACAAAATTGTGAGGTTTAACTTGACTACTTTAAAATTTTATTAGCGATTTGGTACTAAGCTACATTAGTGTTATTATAACTTACAAAAGTCTTCTCTGTTATCTGCCAACTCGTCCCTAAAATCTCCATCATACCAAGTTCCATGCAGATCAACATCAAGTAAGCCAAAAGCTGAATACTGGTTGAACCAACTGTCCCTAACATATTGCACATCATCTTTTATCTGTTCACGATCATTTTTAGTCGGTACTTTTCCTTTTATCGTTTCGAACCTGGTATCCAAAGTCTTTGATTTTTTTTTTTTCAAATCTCACGGAACATCTGTTCTATTTTAACAGGAATAAGTTGATTTTTATAAAGGTTAAGAAACGTACAAAAATGTA